CAGCCCCTTTCACACTACAGTTTTAAAGAGATTAACCCAAACACTCTTTGGACCAGAAAAGACCGGCTCCCCTGACCTGTAGGTCCGTGTTAATGAGCTTCCGCATGTTGAGAGACTGAGCAGAAGGTCAGGAGCTCAGGTCCAGCAGGTAACAATGCTTACTGTGCAGGAGAAGCTGAAGGAATAACTGCCTGCTGGCAGAAAACGGTGAAATAACAGCGGCTTCATACGGAGGGATTACTGTGTTCCGATACTATCATCACAACCACTCTCCCACTGTCTATTTATAGTTCAACTGTCTCCCTTTCGTTCTTGGTCTAATTCTCCACATTGAAAGCCAAGTGCATTAAAAGAGGAAGGACCATAACAGACAGAGAGTCGAGAAGAAATACAGGACCTGTCTTATGAACAGAGCTCCAAAAAAACAGAAATTTCCCCCTGTTGCATTCAAGGACTTACTAAACCCTCCCTACATATCAGCACCCGTCATAAAAGTTGGCAGAAAGCTTTAAGAGAAAGTCGACTCATACATCAATTGCAAATCCCTGAGAAGTGGATAACAGTCTGAATAAATCTGGGTGAATTTATTCAGAGGAGAAACTTCTTGTTAAGAGTTTCCATCCACTTATCTGATTGTGGGGTAATCTTAGCAGGGAAACCCAGAATCCCTTCGTATGGTGGCATCCTTAACATATTCTAAGGCCTTCCCAAGTCAGATGAAGTATATCATCCTGCCTGCAAGTTCTGGGTCTAGTCCAGGTTCTTCTGATTGGTGCAGGGCCCAGAAAGCCTCAAAAGTGAAGCTCTTATGAGGAATCGTGATTAGATACCAAAATCATCTTTCTGACCCTTTTCAACACTTAGAAGCACCAAGTTTACTTCAAGCTACCCTGTTCATGGAGCTCCTCACCCCTTAGAATAAGTCCAATCATTCTGAACGCAGGATCTTGTTCTTTTGATCATGACCCATCTCGCTAAAATTAAATACTTTCTTTTTCATCTAAACGCTCGATAAGAATGTGCTCATTTATTTACTACCAAATCCTTGCATTTCATGTTGTAGAACCTTTTGTAAAATAGTACACTTCAACATTGCCTTTTTAAGGACTTTGAGAGAATATTTTCTCTATACCCAACACATCAGAAACCAGGATCACCTCTCTTACAGCACAAAGGTCCCTAGACTTTCACTCTTTTTATTATTTTTTTTTTTTTTTTTATGAATACCATTGGACACTGATTTGGGAGTCTATATTACATCTGGGAGGTTTACACTTCAGCCAAATTCCAGATGTCTTTGATTTAATGCTGTAGCAGCCATGACAAAGATGACCAAGAATCTTCACAGGTATGTTTCTTATGGATAGCTCGCCAACCATCTTTTTGTCCTTCAATGGGATTGAGATCTGGGGACTGAGATGGCCATGGGAGATGTCTAAAACTGTCTGGGTAACCATTTTTTCTTGAAAGCAACCAGACCCACAGCATCATAAAATCCGCTTTTGTTGCACAGTAGACCTCACTGAATTATTTGTTACAAAAAACATGAAAGGCTCAGTATCTGACTTAACCTACAGATTCTTACCTTTGCTATGGTAGGACAGAAGGGTGTCTTTCCATGTCTGGCATGTAGATAATATCTAAGGGTATCCTGGAGACCCCGTAAACACAAAATGTATGCTGTAGTCCTCCAGCAGCGATCTTTGGAGATTCATTTTACCTCCCTTCTCCTTCGTCTCATACGTTATACTTTAGGTTTTTCTTCAGCCTTGTCAGATTTCCAGATGTTTTGAAAGTGGTAACTGGTGGTCTAATCATAGATAAAAGCTAGTTTGGTGAATGGGATTTTTCTTGCAGAGTTTCGTAACATACGATGATCAACATGGATCTGTCTTACTTTAATCATTACCTCTTTTTGTTCTGATTTTCTCTCTTTATGACTATTTTTGCTGCAACATTCTCCTTTTTTACATTGATTTCATGGCTCTGGATCCTTGCTTTTCAGCCTGTTTGTTGTATCCCTTTGGGGAACTGACTTGAAGGTATTACTTATAATACTATACAGTAAATGTGGCAATCCGCACCACACATGCTTCAATATTGCAAGCTTAACTTTAAAGACGCAAAGCTGGGAAGACAGAACTGACATAAAGCAAGGGGCTAAGAGGATTGCTCGTATTTTATAGCCAACTATCTGTCTAACACGGGGCATACACTGTACGATTTTTTTCCCCTTTTCGGGGGCTGATTCTCTGGTCTTGCGAGAATTTTTCGATTGGACCGAGTTTCAGCTTCATCGTGCGTTGGGAAGTATACAGGCAGTAACGAGGGGTGATCAGCCTCTCAAAAATGTTTTAAATTCAGTCGGCCATCGTAAGGGGTTCGTGGGTAAATCCTGCTGTTGAAGCAGAGCTACGAGCGTCTATGAGCCAATTTACCAGAACCTCAAGCACTGTGCATGTGCAAAAAAGAGAGTTCTTCTTCTTCTCCCAGATTGATGAGGGATCTCTCAGTGCTCAGTCTGACGTGTGATTTTTGGACGTGCAGTGTGAGCAAGTAGATTGAATTACAGTGTCGGACCACACACTGTGAGCACATGTATCATGAGCTGCGAACTTTTGAACCCTGCGGTTTCGTCGCACAGTTTGAGCTGTAGCTGCGTGCAACGATTGAAAATATCGCACAGTGTATGCCGGGCTTAAAGGGCGTAAAAAGACTGCCGCTCAAGTTTGTGGAATAAAATTGCAAGTCTCTGCAAATTTAGCAAAGAATGACTGAATTTTTATTTAAAGTTTGTTGTGAAATCACCAGAAAGGGTCTGTTAAATGGTATGGTCTATTGTCTATCCTACTTTGAAGGCAAACAGGCCTATATGTATAGACGGGGCTGGATTTTACAGCTGCTTTTTGTATCTCTGCTTCTGTCTCCTTGAACCCCAGTCAGCCTCAGCAGATGGCCGCTCACCCTGCGCCTGGTTCTGCTGGAGGTTTCTTCCTGTTAAAAGGGAGTTTTTCCTCTCCACTGTCGCTACCAGCATGCGTAGTGTGAGGGATTGCATTGGAGTCAATGAGTTGATGCCATCAATTGATTTTCCTTAGATAGAAAACTTTAAATCAATTTGACCGGATGATCTGCTGAACTAGAAAGTGCCTTGAGAGGACATGTGTTGTGAATTGGCGCTATATAAATAAACTGAATTGAATTATTTGTCACGTCGTTTATAACTCAGATGACGTCACAGGAGGTCATGAAAATACCTGACTCTAATCAATTTAAAGAAATAACAAAATCACTAGAAGATACAGTAAGTGTTGTATAGTTGATATTCTCACAAAAAATTTTTTTGCCTCTGTATAAAAATCATGGATGGGTTGTTTTTAAATACGTGACAATGATATAGCTGCGTCCTGGAATGAAGAGAGTAATGTACAGGGCTGCTGTTTCCATCTACCAGAGCTGTGAGCAGGAGGTAGGCAAGACCTGCGACACCTTAATCTGGATTATCGGCAAAATTAGAAGCAAGGGTGCTCCTGTAATCCCACTGACAAAGGTTCATTTGTGTCCGTCTGTATCCCCGGCAGTCAACAGGCCTACCTAATGGGTCTGCAGTCCATCATAGGGCCAACACAGAGATGTATGACACAAACAATAGTTCAATCACTATAAAAGCAGCTCCATATATTCAAACACAGATATCAGACAGCTGTGATCCCCACAGTTGATGTTCCCTCCTGAAAATGGACAGGGCTTCTGGCATGATTATGGGAAAGTTAGAGCAGAAACGACTCTGATGTGCTGTTTACAAAAACACCACACACAAATATGTTCATCTGAGGCAAAAAGTCAGGAAGAGCATTTAGCATCAGGAGACAGTCTGAGCTTTAGGATGAATCCCTTACATAATACAGGCGGCTGCAGCAGCACTGTGTCAGTAATCCTCTGCTCTTCTCCTCAGCTTCAAAGCACAGCAGACAGTTTTCTTTTTCAGGTCCGAAATCATGGCTTCTTTGCCTTTCAGAGTAAAAGATTCTCTTATTTCCCAGAATCAAGTTTTAAAAAGATGGATTGATGGATGGATGGATGGATGGATGGATGG